ATCAGGGGCGGACTAAGGCCTAGGCAACCTAGGCACGTGCCTAGGGCCCGTAATTTTTGGGGCCCCAAAAATTAGGTTTTTAATTTTTTAATTTTAAAAATAGGCCCGGAATTACAATGTTGCCTAGGGCCCGCTTTAGCCTTAGTCCGCCTCTGGCCGAGGGGAATGCTTTCCGAAAGGATTTTCTACAAAATTCTGAAATTGGACCTTTTAGGTGCTATAAATATGAACAAAACCTGGAAACCACAACCAGCTACCAGTATTTAGTGGTTTTATCCACTCGGCCGCTGGTGAGCACCAATAGGTTTTCATGTCTGCTTTTATTTTAATATACTTAATTTTATATTTATTACTTGTTAAATGCTCGTTTAGTTTTATAGATATACTAAATTTTTATTTGATTTTTAAAAATATCAATGCAGACGTAATTAATTAATCAGTAAAATATTCGAATAAGACAAGGTTCTTAAAATATTAATAGGATGCGTAAAGCTTACGCATCCTATTAATATTTTTCAAAATAATTTAATTTTATAATTATTTTTAAATTGAGGTTTTAGGTTTGGTTCTTTTCTAATTATTGGCAAAGTGGATTAATGGCCGAGTACGTTGTAGTGAAGGAAAGTCAAGTAAATAAGAAGCCAAAAAATTTGACTTTCGAACAGGCAGCAAGTTTGCCTTATGTTGGAATATTAACCTTAGATGTTTTGCTCAATCAAGCAAAATTAGATCCAGGATCGACAAGAAATAAAAGGTAAAATTTCATCTTAAAATAAAATTTAAAGATTTTATAACGTCTTCATTTTTGCAGAATTTTGGTTCATGCTGGCCACACAGCCTATGGGATTTTAGCAATTCAACTAATCAAGTTATGGGGAGGTCACGTGACAACAACAGTTCCGACTTTTGGTTTGCCTTTAGTCAGATTGTACGGTGCAGACGACGTAATTGTTTATTCGGTTACTGACTTTAAAACCGAGCTTCAGAAAAGAATAAAGTAAGCAGTCTTTAATTATGTACGCTAGTTAAATAATAATGAGGAATTATAATTTTTTAGGTAAAAACTTTAATGGCCGGAGGGCCGACCACCCGGACGCCCCATTGTGGGTCTGGCCGAACCCATAATGAACTTGCTAAAAAGGTTTCTTTGTAAAAGAAAGGGCTGGCGGAAATTACAATTTAATAAAGTAAAAATTACATTATAGATATTAAACATATCCTCATTGCTCGCAATGTCCAATCACCAGGAACAACTATTCTTCACTGCAGAGATTACCTTTCTTTGTAGGCTACTACGCTGTACAAACATGTAAAACAGTCTAACAGTCTTAATTTGTTGGGATTATCACCTGTGGACATTTTAGACTGTTTTACATATTTGTGCAGAGTAGTAGCCTACAAAGAAAGGTCATCTCTGCAGTGAAGAATAGTTGTTCCTGGTGATTGGACACGGCGAGCAATGAGGATATGTTTAATATCTGTAATGTAATTTTTACTTTATTAAATTGCTAAAAAGGTCTTAGTGCCCGCAGGGAGAAAAAGTTTTAAAAATAAGATTAATTAAATATTTTAATTAATGAATCACACAAGTAAATATGAGCAAAATTACATTATAGCATTTGTATACAGTATAGTATTGTTTCATTTCTAAGTCAAAATTTACCTCACATTATTTTTATTTGTTTGTTTTTAACTCTTCGTTTTTTAATCACATCCAACAACAGTGGCATGCCGTCATTAGAAGCGGTGGAAGTGCCGCTTCCCTTGTATTTTCTAAAAAATAAATACATATTAATTNTATTTTTGTCATTTCGACAGTCCTGTAATTTGCACGTGGGTACTGTACGTGCATTTTTCGTAATGTTGCGATTATAATTTTGAGTCGTGTGTTTCAGTGGCGTGCCGTCAATAGAAGCGTTGGAAGCGCCGATTCCCTCGTATTCTCTAAAAAATAAATACATATTAATTTTAATTATATGAAAGTAATCGCACAATATTTTATTATAACCGCATTAAATATCTTATTACAAATTTCTATACTACAGGTGAAAAAAATAAGATTGCTATTGTATATTCGAATATTAGTGGCGGAGTGGAATCTCTGTATTGTCAGATTCCAAAAAGCCAGATTCACGCACGCGCTTTACAGAGCACCAACCTCACCCCGCTTAGCCGGTGAAAGCCTACGACCTTGAGTTGATGCTACACATTCCAATGCTTTCAATTCTATCCAGGACCGGTTCCGGGCTATTAGCCGCCCGCCCGCTAGATATTTGGCCGATTACGTGAATAACGAGTATATTTATAACTTAACCCAACCAATAAGAATTTACTGGTACGTTTTTACGATAGTTCTGTGTAGTTGATAGGAGTTTAAAAAATCCATTAAAGTATTTGATATATTTATTCCGCTCTCCGATTTTATATTACTCACGGATTTCAATGTTAAACCAGTGATATTACGATTTCGTATATCCCATCTTTAAGGGGATGTAGAAAAAAACGTGTATAATTCTTGTATAATGTTAAAAAATTAACCGTTACTTTGGTAGCATCATTTACAACTAAATTTAATGAATGAGAGAGATGCACAAGGTACAGAAAAAGCTTTATAATTTATTTTTCTTAAATTTACGATTTATGTATCCATTTGTCATAAAAATTTGTATTTCCACTTTTTCCCGAGACTACAAATATTCGAGTACAAAGTAACTGGTTTCGACTTATTTCTACTTAATAAGTAGTTAAATAATTAAGCGATTAGGGAATTGGGGACATAAACAAAACTCTGATGGAAGAGCCAAAATTTTACTTAAACAAAAGCTTAAGTTTAAACGTTTAAAATTTACAACCGAAGGAATGTTTTAAATTTACAACCAAACCAATCTATAGCCGAGTACAGTGGAGACTGATTTCTTCGAAATACTGTATTAGATGTAATAAACACAGAAATTTTTCCAGTTCGACGAGAGTGACCGAAAAGTTGTAAATTTTGGAAATTTCCGTGGACAACACCTGGTCCTAAAACAAATTAGAAAACAAACGACGGACAATCTATTAAGTTTAACATATTTAGACTTTTACAGCTATGGTGGTGAGAAACGGTTAAAATTTACAACAACCCTGTCGCGTCTTTTGACATTTAACATTGACCGGTATCGGCACCCTCGGGATTTGGCAGCCCGCGTGCATGTACACACCGCACACCTAGCTGGACCGTCTCTGATTCCACTCGTAGGGAGCTATTTGACTAAGTGGTTAAGATGTAAAGAGTAAAGAATATTTTATGTTACTTTTACGTGCGTTTCATTACAAAGCTATATTTAATTATAATTTTCTTTAAAAGTATATTCGTACAATTGAAGAATGTTATGTACCAGGTATGTATATCCACCACACATTTTATTTCACCAGTAAGTTTTTATAATTTTATTTTTAATTTTAGCCCTTATATCGTGGCTAGCGATTCGGAATGTAATTGCGATATTGAAAATTTATTTTAAAAAAGTTTTGGCACGAGATCATATAATGGAAAAGAAAACATTATTAAAAGAGAAAGGTCAATGCCTAAGTTAAATATAAACGCTTCAATAAAAAAATTTGTTCGACATTTTCACGATAAAATGGCTCTGTAAATGCATAAAAATGCAAAAATTGTTTTTTTGGATTGCCTACTGTTTTCAAATGAAATTAGTGTGTGGAATAAGAATGGCTTTGACAATTTAGCTGGCAAAAGACATGAAAAATCGTCGATTCTTTCGTATTTGAAGCAATTTGGAAATCAAAGCGGAATAGAATTTAACATTAGTAAATAATATAAAATAAATATTGAAAATTATAACGAGATAGTTACGGTTTATAGATATATTATATCTAAATAAATAGATGTTATATGTTTTCATCGAAGCAAGAATTGGCATTTAGAGGGCAAAGGAAACCTATTGAAACTAATAACAGAGGTAATTATATTGAACTTAGTTATTTATTAAGTACGTCAGATAAATAATCTATTAAAATACAGTTAAAGAAAAAATTAACTGATTGCTCCTGGAAGTCGGCTTCTTATAGAAACACAGCTTCCCTATCATCAAATGTCACGGCACGCCCCTGTCCAACAAGGGTTCGGCCAGACCCACAATGGATCGACCGGATGGCGAAGGATGGGACGAACATATCGGAGAGAGCCTGCTCGTGAAAAATTTCTAAATTTGTCCGCCCTAACTCGATTCCGCGACCCCAGAACTGTGAGCTGCTGCATTTTAACTGCAGAGTCGGATTTACCTGTAAACCAAATAGCTATAGCAGTGATGACGAACTTTTTTGAGATAGCGTGCCGTATAATAAGCATACTTACCTTTAAAAATATTTATGCGTGCTGAAGACTTCCAATAACGATATTTTAAGATAGTAAACGAATATGCTTTAATTATAATAAATGTAAAGAAGTTGATTGAAAAAAAGGATGATCAAGTGAGAAACCGAAAGGATGATTGAAAAAGACAGATGATAAACCGAAATCGTATGATACATTACGTTCCAGAAAATTTCTTCTTAAGTGCCATAGGTCTCGTTCTATTCTAAAAGACAGTTTATACCTATTGTCCAGTATTTTTGGTGAAATCCTTTTGTATGTTTTAGCTTAGGACAATGATAAGTCTAAATCTTAAAGGCGAAGCCATTCGCCATCTTCGTCCTATGAACGGCTAGGCCATTCTAAATGGAATTTAGCGAATTCTTCGATCTTGCGTGCATCATTGCTTTTATTGCTAGGATAAATGTAAAAAAGAAAAAAATCAAAGCTAACAAAAACTTAACGTCCGGAAGTAATATTCTGTAGAATTTTTGGTTCAGGCAAATTCTCATTTACGCGCATTACTCGAGTTTTAATTTTCATATTATTAACTTGATGGGTAAGCAATTTTATTTCGAAGTTATGATTAAAGTTAATGATTAGATATTATTATTTCTTATAAATTTATATACTGATCATTGCTCACTATCGGGAGAGTGCGTATATACCATTCGGTTAAATTCAACAATATGGCATCTGGTAATGTTTTCGATAGCTTATGCTTTATGAGTTTAAAAGAATTGTAAATGCAATAACTTGTTCGAAAAATACTTGTGATGTATTTGGGGGTAACGTGGTAGCAAAACGAACCTTCCAGCTTTGGCTTAAGAAGTTCATTCTGGCAATTTTTTTGTATTTTAACTCACAAATTAGTGATAAATCACGTTACCACAAACGTTCTGATGGCAGGATAGCTGACGCCCTGAAATTTCTTTAGGTTGTCGGTCCCTTACCACCGGGCCCACGATGAGTATGAAGAAAAGGTCCCTTTAATTCTCCGCCCACACGGCGGAGAATTAAAAATGAGAAAAAAAGAAACCATGCATGCCTTCATTGAAATTTTAAATGATGCTGTCAAGATTATGGGAGAACTTCATAGATGCTTCTCATAGACCGGATCCTATCCTCAAACAGAAGTTTGACCATGATTTTTGAATAGTAAAATCTGAATTTTTGAATATAATAAAAGAAAAAATTTAAATTTGGAAAAAATTGAATTATTTTCTTTTGTTATATTACTAGAAAGCTCTAAAAATTCTGAATGAGCGAGTAAATTAAATTTTTTAATTTATACTGTATTTTCACTAATTATGTATTTAAAATAAGTTATGAACGTTGAAAGATGCGAAAAATCAGAACTTTCGCAAATTTTACAAGAGGTTTCCCTAATTTGTTCTTCTATAGGACTTCTCTGATTAGTTCCGAATTAGTCCAATCTTCTCTGAAAGAAATCGACGATACAGCAATAAAAGAAACATCTACAGTATCTTATTTATATTTGATAGATAAAAATAACTGTTTCTTTTTTATAGATACGATATTATATTAAATCCAGTTGGAACTTTTCTCCACGAATCGTGTCTCGACATCTGCTCTTCCAATGGTCGAGTAGTATCGATTGTAAATTCACCTTTTATATTCGATTCGTGCGGAATTTTAATGGGAATTGTCACTTCAGCGTGGATGAAGTTGAAATTTATGATTCTAGAGGTAAGATTTATTTATTTTAAACATGAAATTATTATTTTATAAATTCTCTATTCTGCCTTATTGTTTATATCAGTTCGTTCAACAGATATTGCTAGATCATATGAATTTTTTTTAATAATTCTGATACGATCATTATTTAGTGTTTTTTATTTCAAACATTGAAATTAATTAATAAATATGAATTTAGATGACGTAAAGATTGAATCATCACATCTGCCGATATTAATAGTCTAGAAGGCATATCCATCGTAGATTTGTCCAGGCCCGCAATGGGGCGGCCGGATTGGATTCCGGGTGTCCCCGAGAGGTAGTCTGACGCCTTAACTGCCTCGGCCATCCGGCTTTCAGTCAATCAATACTTAAAGGCAATATATTTATCTCACTTTAAAATAAACCAGTTTAAAGGCAATTATCGAATTCCAATGCATGTAATTTTAAAAACAGGAAAATTTAATTTCGAATTTCTGATTTTAATTAAACTGATAGGCCTATTAGTTAAAACATCAAAGTTTTTTACTAAAATTCTAAAAAATATACAGAAAGTGAGATATAAGAGAAAATAAAATGCGTATGCTGATACAATCAAACAAAGGGAGATGAGGTATAAACATTACAAATATAGAGAAGCATATGTACAGTAGACCCCCTATAACGCTTAGATACGTTCCACGCTAACCGAAAATTACGTTGTAGGAATGATTAAATACATGAGCCAATCGCAGCCCGATAGGTGGGAACTTTACGGACTAAGGCTGTTCGAAAGGTTTTCTTCTATAAAATTAACCGATTCTAGATTAATTCCACTCAACATTTCCAAAATACGTATAATTTTTTGGGAGTAATCCGTATAAACTATGCTATAAACAAAAAATTATAGGATTACTTACCGAGTGTGTACCGTTCGACTACGCCGTTGCTTAAAGCTGGTTTTCATCGCGGAACAGCACACGAAACGACGGCCGCAATTTCTGATAACGAATTTTTGGCAGAAAAATAACTTGACCTTTGGAGACATCATTAATATAAATAATTTTTATGGCCGTTGAATAAGAAGTGTTTCTTTCACAAGAAATGTATAAAATTAGTGCTGTATTAGACTTACGGTACCTAATTTACATACTGTACAGACGATAATAAACTCAACTTACTAGCCTAAAATCTCCGTAGCGTGTTGCCAGGCGGCAGAAAGCATATATATAATTATAATAAAGTTACAATAAATTAAGTTAATATATAATTATATATACAGTACCTAATTTATATATAATTAATATATAATTATATGTACAGTACCTAATTTATATATAATTTATATATAATACTAAACAGACGATAGCAAACTCAATTTAGCCGCTCCGTAGCGTGGCGCAGGGTCGGAGGAAAGTAGTTCGGCTGCTCATCCACTATTGGTCCAGACTCTATCAATCTTCTCGCGAAACGATGTTATAGGAGGTACGTTATACGAAAGTTGCTACAATTTTTTCGCTACGTTATAGGAATTTCCGTTATAGGAACGTACGTTATAGGGGGGAGGGTCGACTGTACTGTACAAATGAATCCCGCGACATGGGCACATAGCCTGCCAGTGGAATAAGAGATAAAAGCGCGGGACAAGGGCAGATAGCCAGCTCTAAGTAGGCGTTTGTACAGAGTCTTGGGTACGTGCTCTGCTCCTATGGGTCCGTTGATCTTGCCTATATGGAGGGATGCGGTTATAGGTTAAGGTGGATCGGCCTAGCTCAGGTGATTAAGGTATATTTCGCGGCTTCAGCGAATGGAGTCACTCACCATCAGTTTAGCCATGGTGCTTGCGTACTTTCTTCCGATGCCAAGGCGTTGGAAGATGGACGTGTTGCCCGGGTCGTATGCACCCAGGGAGCCGATGATGAATGCATCACACACAATGTCGTAACCTTGATGTCTGAAGGGGTGAGCGAGGTGTTGGTACCTGCCGATTTTGGTTTGTCTTGCTATGTTAAAGACGTCGTGGCCATTTTCAAATGGAATGGCCACGTCGACGATGGTGGCCGTCATCTCAGCATTACAGCTGAGATGGTAAATGTGTCAGATTGTCGTTCTGGAAAATCTGGGTCAGGACTCTCGGGTATTTTTTTTATGGATGGTATGCCGTATCTTACCATCCGGCTGCCCCGATTATGAGCCTGGTTAAACCCATGATGAGCATAGATAAAATGTTTTCTTGGTGCTCATAGAGTAGAAAGAGCTAGGTAAAGAAAAGGGACATTTAGCTTGTGTTTTTATTCTGTTTTAGAATAATATAAACCAGAAAATCTAAACACAATTAATCTTTAATATATCCGGACCTGACAGACCATTCGAATTCGATTTCGTATCCTTATGAGCGGTAGGCTGCCACCTTCGTTGTTCAGCCGTCGACCAGTAACCACTACTATTGTTATAAACCTATAATAATGTAATAATAAATTGTACCAAAACATCTTTAAAAACTGTTTATAAATATTTAGTTATAGTAATTAAAAATAGATCAAAATATAAAATTAATATGTGAAAAAATGCATTTACAGCTTTTCGGTAAGATATCTTGGAATTACATGACACTTGATATAACGACATTAAATATGCTAGCAAATATGATAGAAAATGAAGAGGTAAAACGAATCAATCGTTTGTATTTATTTTAAACATAATTTTTTTAAAAAACTAATTGAATGTCATATTATTTATGTATTTCTAGTTGGAAGCTGTTGTTGAACAAGTATATGATATTGACAATGCTTACGAGGCATTTAAACATTTAACAGAGGAAACCGCTGTGGGAAGAACTGTTGTACGAATACAAAAGAATAGTGATACTAATGTGTAATATTAACTTATTTCATTAAATTGTTAGTTTAACTTGTAATTTTACTATAAATAATAATTATTAATCCTCTCTCATACTTTAATCACTAATCTTTAATTTACTGTATTAATAGATAAGAATTTGAACCAACCCAAATTTATAATAAAAATTTTGTACTGCAAATAAATCTTGTACAGTGTATTTATGAAGCCGTTGCAAAATTATTATGTTTGCAAATATTTTTAGAGAATGCAAAATAACAGATTCATATAACCAAGTGCATAGAAATGGGACTGGCTCTCTGGGCTTGAGCCCATGAGAAACAGAAAATAAAAAAATTTTTTATAAATTATATTTACTTAAAATATTGGTCGTCATTGCTCCATTCTCCAACCAAGTTAAACAGAAAGAATATAATGGCAATGTATTACAGCAAGCCTGGCCAACCCAAATTGTTTTGCGGACCACTTTGATTACGCGTAACATTACGGTGGGCCACAATTTAGGCAAACATGCTTTTTAAAAAGACTTTCAGGATACGACATGAAATTCGAATATATTTTGGCTCCACGATAGGAACAAAAACTCATCATACGACGTTACATTAGTTCGCAGCACCATTTTTTATTCACTTCTGTTCATTGGTCTCAGTCCGGGTGTTTGCTTCGTCGTAGAAGGATCTCGCTCGATAAAGGAAATCTTGAGGTATTATCAGAAAGTGACTGGTTTTATTGAAAAGAAACATCCCAAAAAGGTTTACGCTAGCTGTATTGCTGCTCAGAGTAATAGCATTTGCCTAAGTAATTTTAGAAATATTTTAAAAAGTAGGCAAAGCCAAACCTCTTTGGATAGATATTTTACAAAGCGACCTCTATCCAGTGAAAGTGCTGGTGGAAGTGAAGGAAAGACAGCAAAAAGCAGTGAATAAAAAATTTTAAAAACTATATATAAAACAACACTAATTTTTTTAATCTTTTCTAAGTTATTTTTAAGTTATTGTTACATTATGTTATGTAAGTTAAGTTTTAGTATCATTTCCCTTCTCCCTCTCCTCCGCCACCAGTTTACACCTCCACCGTCGTCTATCCTCAAAGGTAAAGTGCAAATAAAACTACATTTTTTTTTAAAATCAATTATTATTCTATTATGGTTATTTATACATTTACAACTACAAAACGCATTTTTCAGTGTTTTCCTTACTATAGTTATTTTTTTAATGTACTACTTATCTTTAATTTGAATGTGTTTTTCGTGTTGGAACGAATTATTTGGTTTTACATATAATCGTATGGGGGGAAATGATTCACCTTACGACATTTGAATGATACGATCTCAGTTTCGGAACGGATTAATTTCGTATCCTGAGGTACCACTGTACTTTAATTTAAAAATAGCTCTCATTACATGATTTTGTTGTATTTGTAATCGGTTTGCGATATAATCGGATGTAATTCCCCATATAATTATGCCATATTGAATTTTTGGTTCTATACAGGTGTGATATAGCCTAGTCGTATTATCGCATTTATATTCAGAAAGTCCTGTATTTTCCTAATTATGCCAGTAAACTTAGCGACAGTCTTTGTCAAATCTTATCAAATCTGAGTTTATCGTCTATCAAAACACCGAGATATTTTATGCAGTTAATTGTTTCTATCTTCTTTTCATTTATTTCAATTTGAAGTTGTTCCATATCAACAATTTTATTTTTATTTACAAAGCAGAGATGTTTTATTTTATTTGAGCTCATGTAGTCAGTTAATTTACAAAGGACGTTATTTAAGGATGATTGTCAAAACGAACCCAGAAACTTGTTATAGATTTCCTTAGTGAAAGTTCGGTAAGGGTAACCGAAATCGTTAATTAAATTGTAGCGAATGATCCAGACAGGACCTTCATCACAAAAATTTAAGTAAAATTTGTTTATTTTTGGTCGCGTATTTTCCTTTTCCTATTTACTATGTTAAAATGACCTCGTTTAACGCTGTTTCATTTAGCGCTTTGTCGTCTAGGAACGCATTCTAAGCGGTAAACGGTCTTACTGTATATATAAAAACGAACGGTTGCATTATATTCCTTATACATCACTTAATATAAAACTAACAAACTTTCTATTTTAGAAATGTATTATATTGTAATACCCCGAACTTACGCGATAGGTGGGACCGAGCGATAACCGCGTAAGTCGGGGTATAATTTCGCAATTTGTGTAAAAACCAAGTGGGATGTATGTAAGCTAATAAATGTTCTCATTAATCTTATCTCGTCTTTTGATTCGTTCACGGTTACGAGAAATCACCACAAAGAGTATCTCGAGTCTCCGTAGATATAACAAACACAGAAATAAATAACACAAAATAAATTGTAGCTATGCGTCGATTCCGCGCGACATGTCCGAACACGTAACCCGAACAATAGTGTGGGGGGAGTGAGTAATCGAGAGTTGCGTGCCGCTCAAACAAAAGACGAATCGACGAGATTTGAAAATCGCGTAACTCCGGGTTCGCGTAAGTCGAGGTATTATTATATTTTAATAATTCAGAACTAGGATGAATTGAAGTTCACGATCACGATTAAAACAAAGGAATTAACACCACTTAGACAAAATTTAAAGCGATTTATACCAAAGTTAGATACTTAATTCTCCTAACTTTAATTACTTTTGTAATTTCTGTTTTTATTGGCATGTTTTCATTCATTCCTTATTATCAATTGAAAGAAACAAGCAGCTCTTCGCTTGCCATTCGTCATTTGCAGACGAACGACAACCCAGAACTCACCACGTGGAGGTGGCTGCTTCAGAGTTCCACCAAGAGTTGGAAAGAATGCAACTTTATAAGCGACTGACATCACTTGTCGAGTTTCATTCGTCCTAACTCACACAATGAAAATATTTATAATACCGAACCTCAATAAACAAAAAATTCTCGCCCTGCGCGAAATTTAATATTACGGGACACAGAAAGCCCGCATCTTTATAGGCCCGCGGGAGTAAAGAGGCCGACGAGAGATGGAGAGTCCACCGAGTGTCCCGCATGTTTAAGGCCCGCTCGGGTGAAAACAGAAGACGCCGAGGAAAGGCGGAGAAGGCTCTCTGTGTCCTGAATCATTAAGGCTTGCTTGAGTAAAGACAGGAGATGCTGACGGGGCGAAGAGAATTCTCTGTGTCACGTTTAGTTAAGGCTCGTCCGAGTAAAGAGGCCTACGAGAGATGGACAGTCCTCCGAGTGTCCCGCATGATTAAGGCCCGCTCGGATGAAGGAAAAGCGTAAATCCGCCTTTCCTCGGCGTCTTCTGTCTTTACCCGAGCGGGCCTTAAACATGAGGGACACAGAAAGCCTTCTCTGCCTCGGCGTCTTCTGTCTTTACCCGAGCGGGCCTTAAACATGAGGGACACAGAAAGCCTTCTCTGCCTCGGCGTCTTCTGTCTTCACCCGAGCGGGCCCTAAATATACGTGCGGCACACAGAAAGCCTTCTCCGCCTTTCCTCGGCGTCTTCAGTCTTCACCCGAGCGGGCCTTAAAGATGAGGGACACAAAGAGCCTTCTCCGCCTTTCCTCGGCGTCTTCTGTTTTCACCCGAGCGGGCCTTAAACATGCGGGACACTCGGTTGACTCTCCATCTCTCGTCGGCCTCTTTACTCCCGCGGGCCTATAAAGATACGGGCTTTCTGTGTCCCGCATCTTTAAGGCCCTCTCGCGTGAAAACAGAAGATGCCGAGGAAAGGTGGGTAGGCTCTTGGTGTCCTAAGACCCGCTCGGATAAAGACTGAAGACGCCGAGGAAAGGCGGAGAAGGCTTTCTGTGTGCCGCACGCATATTTAGGGCCCGCTCGGGTAAAGACAGAAGACGCCGAGGCAGAGAAGGCTTTCTGTGTCCCTCATCTTTAAGGCCCGCTCGGGTAAAGACAGAAGACGCCGAGGAAAGGCGGATTTTACGCCTTTCCTTCACCCGAGAGGACCTTAATCATGTGGGACACACGGAAGACTGTCTCGTCGGCCTCTTTACTGGAGCGAGCCTTAACTAAACGTGACACAGAGAATTCTCTTCGCCCCGTCAGCATCTCCTGTCTTCACCCAAGCAAGCCTTAATGATTCAGGACACAGAGAGCCTTCTCCGCCTTTCGTCGGCGTCTCCTGTCTTTACAATGGAAAAAACTAACAATACATTGTAACAATTCGTTACGTATTGTTAGAATATATTTTTAACAACGTGTGACGTATTACGATCACATCGTGATTTTACGTCACTTGTTACGTAAATATATTAATTGGTTTGAAATATTTCAGAAAGGATTATTTTATTAAAATAATATTTATTAGAAACAGGATTATTTTAACTTTTTAAAGATAATGTTTTTTTCTAATAAATAAAATTATAAAAATGAAATTTAAATATAATCATTTCTGTAAACATTTATCTTACTTGTGCATCTTTAATCTTAATACAGTACTTTCCATTTGTTGACTGCAGTTACTAAAAACACAAGTGCTTATGTTGCCATGGGAGTATCATAAGCATTAAGATTTCCATAACCAAGATCAATATATCCTATTACTTCTTTCCCATCGCAATAAACTTGTATTTTCAATAGCCATTTCATCAATAATTAAGCAACACAATAGTGGATGGGTTGAAATTTTAATTTCATCTCTGATTTTATGAGACTGTTCAGTAAAGCGAGGACTACCATCAATATAAGAAGACCATTTCTGTAGAGCAGTGTTGTTCAACCTTCTTGAATATGCGACCCCTTTACAAGTTAAAAAATTCTGGCGACCCTCCCTAGGACCATATTAAAACTATATCAGTGATTTTAAAAACTATGCATTTAATTTTCTTTCTGTTGAGACAAATTATTGTTGATTA